TATGCTCTCAAAATATGTGTGATGGATTGTTTGAGAAGGTGTTCAGGTGACAGTTATTTTTAAATTATCCTTAAAAAGAGCCTTCTTTAACAGGCTGGACAGTAGAAGTTGCTGTCCTGCTCAAAGGGGCATCCTGGAGTTTGTTTTTCCTTGGAATTAATACTATGGTTTGCACTGAATTCCAACACTTAATGTGAACTGTGGTTTTGCAAACAGTCCAAGGCAGGGTAAGACTGAAGAGATGAGGAGTGCAAGTTGGTTATTTTTTTTATGCTAACTTCTTGGTTTCAGCACAAGGGTTATGTGCCAGAGATGCACATACTTCACCTACAGTTATAAAGCACTGTTTACTTTTTTTTGTGCAAACACAAAAGCCAAGTGGGAAGGGATATTTCATAAACTCAGTGCTATTGTGTCCTCTGGTCTAAGCCATAAAACAAGAGTAATAGAGACATTCCCTTTGAACTTGAAATCCTTTTCTAAGCTGCTGATCTAACCTAAGTGAGAGGGGGAGACTATACCAGCCAGAAAATTTCTCTTCTGGGTATTTTTCCCGTCCTGCCCCTTTTCTTTTTTCAACGTCCTTAAGTGAGTTTGATACTGCACCTCTGCCCATAAATTTAAAAAAATATTATCGTAATGTAGGTCAGTGAACTGAAACGCCACTGTACACCATGGGGGATTAAAGTCAGAGAGGCAGCCCTCTCCCACTCCTACTAGGTCATATGACAATATAAACAAGAAATGCAAGGAGCCTTCAGCTTTTTCTTGCCCTAATCCTTTGTTTATGCAGCACTTAAACTGACTTTTGGGGTCGTCTCTGTCTGGCATTAAAGCCCTAAAGCTTTTTGAAGTTTCCCTGAAGTTAATAAAATTAGTCTGCCCTCATTGCTAGGCCCCTTGCTGCTGCTCCAGAGCAGACTGCGGATCCCTTACTGTCTTTGTGGTGTTTGGCTTTGTAAGTTCATAATATTTTATACCAAAAGAAAGAGCGTTTGAGAGAAAAGCAGAAAGCTCTCCCGAAAGGCTGTTCAGCTAATAGGCAAAGTGATTGCCATTGTAGATGTTCTGAGAACTCAAAGGGGATTAACTTAAAATCCCACGATTGGAGGTAAATTGCTGGTAAAGTAATTGGAAGTGTTGAGTTTCAGTTAGAGAGAACAACATGCATTTCTTTCCCTTTTTACAAAGCAAAGCTAAACCAAAAATATAATTTTTCTTTTTCTTTTATTATTTTCTAATGCAGTCTTAAAGTTGAGAAAATGAGCTTTCCTTCATAGCAATTCTCTGCTACACTCATTTATTTTAATGCAAAGACTGATCCAGTTATCCTAGTTCCTGTTAGGACAGGCAATCTCTAGTTATTTTGTCTTTGTCAGGGATAAATTGGTGATAGGCTCACTGGAGGGCAAGGATGGCACAGAATGGGGTGTGTAGTATTTAGTGTGTGAGACAGAGACTTCAGGTCATTGAGGTTTTATTCCAAACAGCCAGTCAGGCAAGTCACTGATCACTTATTATCTCAGCACTACTAAAGTGGTTTTTTTTTCTAATGGCCTGTAGAGATGCCCAAGGAATCATGGTGATACCTACAGAACGTATTCATTGGTTAAACGAGGGAGTTTTGTTTTAACAAGTTGAGTTAAGAACTGGTGGGACCTAGAGAGTGCTGGTGAATGGTGCTGCATCCAGCTGGCAGCCAGTCACCAGTGGTGTCCCTCAGGGATCTGTGCTGGGGCCAGTTCGGTTTAATGTTTTCATTGATGACATGGGTGAGGGGATTGAGTCTTTCATTGGTAAATTTGCAGATGACACTGAGCTGGGAGCCTGTGTTGATCTGCTGGAAGGGAGGAGGGCTCTGCAGAGAGACCTGGAATGGTTTGATGGATGGGCAGAATCCAATAAGATGAAGTTTAATAAGTCCAAATGCCAAGTCCTGCATTTTGGCCACAAAATAATCAATAACCCCCTGCAATGTTATAAGCTGGGGGTGGCATGGCTGGACAGTGCCCAGGCAGAAAGGGACCTGGGGGTGCTGGTGACAGCCAGCTGAACATGAGCCAGCAGTGTGCCCTGGTGGCCAAGAAGGCCAATGGCTCCTGGCCTGGATCAGGAACAGTGTGGGCAGCAGGAGCAGGGAGGTCACCCTCCTTCCCCTGTACCTGGCACTGGTGAGGCCACACCTCAAGTGCTGTGTCCAGTTCTGGCCCCTCACTTTGGGAAGGACATTGAGACACTGGAGTGTATCCAGAGGAGGCAACGAGGCTGGAGAGGGGCTGGGAACACAAACCCTTTGAGGAACCACTGAGGGAGCTGGGGGTGTTCAGACTGGAGAAAAGGAGACTCAGATGTGACCTTATCACTTTCTACAGCTCCCTGAAGGGTGGTTGCAGTCAGATGGGGGTTGGTCTCTTTCTCCAGGCAGCAGCTGCCAGAACAAGAGGACACAGCCTTAATCTGCACCAAGGGAAATTTAGGTTGGATGCTAGGAAAAACTTTATCACTCTTGCTGTAAAAACTACTGGAATTGTCTTCCCCATGGAGGTGGTGGAGTCACCATCCCTGGATGTGATTAAAAAAAAGGCTGGATGTGGCCCTCGGTGGCATGGTTTAGTTGAGGTGTTAGGGCATGACTTGGACTTGATCTTAGAGGTCTCTTCCAACCCAGTGATTTTGTGACCATTAGAGTGAAAAGAACAGCACAGCTGGAGTCCTTGGTTACTCTCCTATACTGAATGTACAAGAGCATGACCCTAAAAAACACCTTTCTTTATAAAAGATAAGGGTTTTTTAATTCTAAGGTTTTAAGTGAGTGTGGCATAACTGAATGCTGATAGAGTTTGTTTCTGTTCTAATACTCAATTAGAGGTTATCATTGCTGGTTTACTCTAAGGTACTTGATGCCTGTAACACTTGTTCACAGAAGTCACTGGAGTTTTTTTTGACAGCCTTGCTGGGGAGGCTCTAAACTGAGCCATGCTAGCCTAGTATGATTGCTCATCCTGTAATTCCATTTTTAATTAAGTTAAAGATAACTTTGAAGTGCTCTTGGAAAAATAAAAGATGCTTAGAAAGATGTTGGCCTTTAATGTTGGCTTCCTGTGCTATTTGAGGGATAACTGCAAAAAGAATAGATATATTAGAGATCCTCCCTGGAGCATATTGTACCATCTGTATTTCAAACAAAGGGGAAAGAAACACTAGCCAGCAGTGGACAAGAGAGATGAACAGTTTTAAAATTCTTGTTTTAGGAATAAAAGATTTGTAGGATGAAGTAATGTTTTTTATTTCTCCAGCCACTGCAACTGGAAAAAAAATTGGTTTTGGGAATGTAAATGCTTCTTCAGGTTGGAGTTAACAGCTTCTTTTTCTTCTAGTCTAGCCAAAGAAAGGCGAGTGTGCCTGAAAGCTTATCTCCCCCCTCAACCTCCACCTATTATCAGGGGCTCTAGAAAAAGACATTGTTCAGTTTTGCATTTAAGCCAGAATGTTGCTCAGCAGTGATACTGCCATCAATGCTTCTCAAGCAGTGGGAGAGCGCAGACACAGCAAAAAAAAAATTAAATGTGTCCTTTGGGGAAAGATGAGGAGTTTGGGCAGTGAGTGTTGTTGAGGCATCTGAGTGTTTCTGCCCACAGCCTTGGCTGCACCCAGCCCAGAGCAGAGCTGCCTGTCCTGTTGTCATCTCCACGTGACAGAAGCAAGAAGGGCTGTAGATATTTCTCATCCTGCACCTGGTTTGGGACAGGGGGAGGTCCTGCCAGTGCTCTCTAATACTGCACAGCCCTTTCAAGACTCTTTATAGCTGACCAAGTAAGTTCTGTTGAAAATAAAACAAAAATGAAATTTTTGATGCTAGATTTACTACCATCCTGAGATTGGCATTAAAATGGAGTCATATATATGTAACAAAAGAATAACAATCCTAGGGATTTGAGTCTTTGTATGCATTATAGTTTATGGAGGAGGCTTCAGGGAAGGACAGTTGCTTAAGAAGCTGGAAATATTTTGAGTCATCAATATTTTGAGTTCATTTAAACTGAGTAAAGGGGAGTGTTTAGAAATGATTGGAATTCTTTATTGTTCTAAGTCACTTTGGTCTTTGCAACCCTTAGGTGTAGCTAAAAATGGTTCCTGAGATGTGAAGAGCTGCAGCTTTTACCACAAAAAATAATCTTTGAAAGATTGAAGTAATATCCCCATATTTATTCTGATAAATAAATGTTCTTTCTGCGTCTACAAGGTAGAGTAACTGCAGGCATTGGGTGTACAAGGATATTCACACCTACAGGATTAGGCTCACTTGACTGCACCTTATACTTTGTAATGCCTAAGAGAGGGTTGTTTATCTTGCCTTACCCACCAACCTCACTGCCTCTTGTGCCTGATAGCTTAATTAACAATTCAACTTGGAATGGTTCTTCCCACTGGGTTACAAACCTTGAAATTAAAATTTGATACAGTGGTCATAAGGCTCTTGGTTTAACAAATCAATATGTATGTAAAGGTGAGTATTTAAAAGGCTCTATTTAGAAGCTATGTCATTTCTTTGGAAGTGTAGCTGTTGGAATGCAGGTCTGGAGCTAAGAGAAAGAATGCTTATGTAGGTGATAATGTACTTAGCTGTAGAATAAATAATGGAATAAACTTTTTGTCAGCGTCGGTACTTCAGTGACTTTCATGGAAAGGTTTTAAAGCAGAAAAAATATTTTAATTAACTGATCTTTACAGGATGTTCTTATGTAGGTTTTATTCTTATATTTTGATAAGGGAGGTAGAAGCAGAAATAATCTTCTATGCATAAAATCTTCTATGGTTTTAGACACAAATTGCCTTAAACTCAACAGTTTAGATGGCTCACCCAGAGTTTTGCTCATCTAGGGGTAAATGGTTTGTCAGAGGTGGAGTGGTAGAAGTTGCCAAACTTAGCATGTAACATGGATTATTTCATGTCACTTTAGCTTGTGGAGTTACGAATCCCTATTTTTTATTTTTTGCAGGTGATGGATGATTACAGTGTGATTGGTCGTTCATTGTTCAAAAAGGAAACAAACATCCAGATTTTTGTGGGTCTGAAGGTGAAACTGTCTACAGGAGAAGATGGAATAATAGATGGTGGTTTTGGACAAAGTGGTAAATTCAAAATCCGAATTCCAGGTAGGTGTTAGCAGTTAACTAATAACAATCTGTGTCCAGTGTAGAGGAGCTTTCCATATTGCAAGGTGAAGTGCTACCAGTGATCCCCTGAAGTTTTGAAATCAGCTCACACCCAGTTGGAGCAGTGATCTGGTGGGGACTGTACCTCTTGTAATTACATGATGGTGGCTGTGACTTACAGTGTGAGACTGAGTGACCTGAAGCCACATCCCCTGTGTGAGCAAACTCAGGTCTCAAAATGACTTCTTGCTAAGTGGCACTAACACAGAAATCATGCTGTGCCCAGAGAGGTTTGTGGTAATCTCTCCTCTCTTAATGTATGTATGATTTGCACCAGAACCCTTCTGAACAAATAAAAGAAAGCAAACCTGCAATCATTTTTACCTGTGGCTGCTTATTAAATATAGTATATTGGATGCAAGTTCCTTAAATTGGGTCTGTTCTGCATGTTATTACCTAACTTGCCTTCAAGCAAAAACTGCTTGATAAATGGGGTTTTGGACATCTTGAGAGTTTTTTTATTGCTTGTGTCTCCTGGTTTTATAATATTATATATGACTGTATTTTTCATCCTGGTGAATTACAGGAAGGATTTATGCCTCCTTAGGTTAGAGCATGGGAAATTATTGGTGCTAGAGTTTATAAGTGTCATTTACTGGGGGTTTTTTCCTCCTTCTTTTACAGCAGGAGAGTAGTTCTGAACCTTTTCAAAAGGCAGTAATAGGTGTTGCATTTAACTCAGATTGCAGGATAAGATTTTAAGGATACCAGGCAGTACTTTTGTATTTCAGTTTTGTCTTCAGCCCATTTGTCACTAGTTAATCCCCCACCCTCTTAGGGAGATGATCAAGATTGCTGCTGTTGAACAAGGGGCAAAAAGAAATCACAATGTTCTATGGCAGCAAACAGTCAAACAGTCAACATAGCCATTGATCTTCAGAGAAAGGTGAAGTTTCCTGATTCCTTGCAGAAGATGGACTATCTTTCCATTTAATTTAGAGTGTGATTCAACTGCTATAATTTTGACCCTCTGCAACTTTCCTTTCTTCTTATTACAGGATAAGAATTTCTGACTATATAAAATATCTCATGTGTTCTATCCTACCTGTACTTCTAGTTTTGTAACCAAATGCTAGATTTTGCAAATAGGTAAGGCTTCTGAGAGCCTAATTAGCAATCACACTTCACATTTAAAGAAAAAGATTGCAGCAGATAAGTGTTTGCTTTTAGTTTTCTGGTATAGAAAAGATTTTGGGGATTCACTGAGGTACTTTTAGGTAGGTGATGAAATGATGCATAGATGACTAGAGCTGAAAAGCTGAAAATAAAGATGGTGTCTTGCTTAAAAATGTATAGTTATGTAACTTTCTTAGTAACTTTTCTCTCCCAGAGGCAAAAATCTGATGAACAAAAAGAACAGGAGGATGGCATTTACATTGCCATTTCTACATTTTTGGATGGAGGAAATGGCTCTTCCTGGGACAGAGAGAAGCCTTAAAAGGAGTCTCTGGCACCCTTGTGGATTTAAGCAGGAACTGTAATTGTCAACCAGCAGTTACATTAAGAAAATTGTATATAGATTTAGATAATGGCATTTTGCTCTGTCCATTAAGCTAGTGGGAAGAAATGATACCTTTCACCAAGGTGTTCGTTATCTAATCTTGGTTACACTCATCAGATGTTCAACAGCAGACCTTGAAACAGAGGACCCTTTATGGTTTATTCTTTCAATGAGAAGAATATGTGGCAGAATGCTAGAATTTAATACCTCTCTAAAGTAGGCAGAATAATACAACTTAGTTTGCTTTGCTTTAATCTGGGTCAAACTTGGGTGCTCTTGTTGTCTGGAAAGAAAAGGCAGTAAGTTAAATTAAGTCAGGTTGAGGGTATCGAGGAATGGAAAAGAAGCACAGAATTTGAAATAGCCTAAAAACATGTCTCTTTAAGAGTTCCAGAGATTTGTGTGTAGGGGGAGGGCCATTGCTGTGATACTGCTTGAGTCAACTGCAGTTCACATTCCTTTGTTAGATCAGTGTTGCTTTTTTAATGAGTCTGCACCCTGTTTGTGAGTTGTTGATTTTTTTTTTAATTTCGCTGGTTGGATTTCTCTTTCCCTTACCCCCACCCCATTCTTCATCCTTGTCTCCTCTCCTACAGTCTCTTACATATTTTTTTGGGTAGACCTTTTTTCAAATTTTTCTAAAGGTATTTTTCTGTGATTCCTTCAAAAATGTATCAGGGAGTAGGAGGGAAGGAAAGGAAATGTCCAGGTTGAAAACTGCCTTGTACTGCCTCAGCCTGGCAGTCCATGAGTCCTCTCGTATTTAAAACCAGTCAACCCCTAGAACTGAGTTAGCTTGTTCAGCTAATTAACCTGATGATAGCTGGTGACTGGTTCTAGAAACAAACCTCTCCATGCCAGTAAAATCCAAGGAGATGTGTCAGAGATTTGTTCCTGACTACTAAAGGTAATAATAGGCCATGGCACATCTTAGGGTGCTGCATGGTCCCTCTGGTACCATGAGCAAGTGTTGGGCTCCCCAAGTGTTCTTCCATACTCTCTTGGAAATGACTTGTGTCTGCCATAGATCAGCCTGGGAACTTTGTCTTGTGGCATCTGTGGGCTGAAACTTGGCAGACCTCAGCTGGGAATGGCAGAACGTGGATCTGTTCTTACTCTGGCACTGCTTGTGTGCAGCAATAAGTCAGTTACTTCTCTCTGCTCTTCTGCTTTGTGAAACAGGGATAATTACAGATCCATTCTGGAAAAAAACCCCAAAATAATGAAATTCCTGATTTAGATTTATTCCAGGCTTAGAGCATTAATATTTCTTGAAAAGACACAATTATCTTTCTTTAGAGTACAAAAAGCACATCTAGAGTACAGCATGCAATTGGAAGTTCCTCAGTTGCTGAAAGATGTCAGTACTTTGGAAGAAGTTCAGGGAAGAGCAGCAAGAATGCTGGAGAGGCTGAAGGGATTGATTTATGAGGGAAAGAAGATGAAAAGAAATGCATGAAACTTGGCTAAACGATGTCTTCTAAGTGGGAGATATTATCCACAAGTATTTGAAGACCATAACGGAGAGGAATCCCTTAGGGTGGTCCAAGGAGGTGGAAGCAAAGCTTAATGACATGAAAAGTGTAACTTGACTGTTGAGAGATGTTATTTAGCAGAGATGTCTTGCCCTGCCAGATCATCTTTGCAGATGAAGATGTATTCCAATTTGACAATATTTATGTGTAGTTTACCTGGATGTTTGCTAGTGCAGGGTAAAACAGACAGGTAGTAGGATGGTGGGTGGAAGTACAATTTATTTTTCAGTTCACTTCTCTTTCTGTGTCCAGGCATGCTTTTATTGCTTGTATGACAAGGTATGACCTTTCTAGAATGTTTTCAGCAGCATCTAAAAGAAAAAAAAGTATTTGCTGGCAGATCTGTTCTGTAGGGCTCAGTTGTGGAGCTGTTTGTGCTTTAACTGAAGGCAAAGTTTCAAGGCCTGTTAATTGACAAGATGATGCTTCCTTTCCAGACTGGTTGCATGATCAAATGCATAAAAAGGGGGACATAATCTCTGAACTCACAAGAGAGTTTTGTGTAGTTTAACAAGCTGCTTAAAAAGCAAAAGGGGTTTGAAAGGCAATTTAAACTACACTGCTTTTAAAGTTATGCTTTGTGTGGATGAGGGAGCGAGCTACTGATGGGGCACTTCTTGCTGAGGTGGGTGATGTGTGGCAGCTGTTTTACTTGTAAATGGAACACTGTACAGGGTAAATGAGTGAGGAGTATTGTTCAAGAGCAAGTTTGGGAGGCAAAAACTGTATGTTTAAGTGTCTTATTCTAAAGAAGATAAAGGCTAACAATGACAGTCTTTGGAAAAAGCTTATTTCAACATACCTTGCACCAAGGAATGTTGTGCCAGTTGATAAGACATTTAGAGGAAAGTTCAGCAAATCATTTGAATAACTTAGTGCTAATTGTGAATTTTATTTAACTGTCTCTCACCCAAGAACTGACCCTGTAAAACTGTGCTTGGTTTGCAAAACCATGATCTGTTGCTGAGTGTCTTGACATCTTCTAAAAGATTGACTTTAGATATACCCATTTCTTTGGTTTTGGCTCATTGCATTTGTCATGTGCTTGTTTGTTGTAAAATGTAGCAACTTTTTAAATCTAATTGGAGCATGCGTGCTATCTCAGGCATGGTTCACTTTCCTTTCTGTCTTTCTGTCTAATTTCTAGTGAAGTGTTCATCCTTTCTGAGGCACTGCAATGTGTCTAACTGCTATTCTCCTCTTTTTGACTAAAAATTGCTGTATGTGACTTAGAGTTACCTTATTTCTTAATGTGAAAGAAGCAGTGCATATCTAACACTCCTAAGAGCTGAACACATTCCTGAATTGAGCAAATTTAAATGTAATAAAAGACACTTTTCATAAGAAGAGATAAAAATGAGAATATTGGAGTGCAAGCTTTGTGGCTTGTCTGTTCTTTTTAGCCATACAGGATAACAGGAGTTTTAAGTTTCTTAAAACAGGTGAAAACAAACTGGTTTATGACTTTGTCTTTTGTTGCCAGTAACTTTTTGCCTTGCACTTGAGAGAACAAGTCCATTTCACTGTTGCCACTGCTTGTCAGGGTAAGAGGGATTGAAGGTGCCATAAAAGTCTGTTCTGAAGGGGCAGCACAGATCTTCTCCCTCTCCAGGACACTGCACCTCTGGCATCCTGCAGTGTTGGTGTAACATGACATACAGTGGTCAGAATTCAGCCAAGTGTCTTATTCTTGAGAATTCCTTTTATGCTTATGTGTGAAATTAAGGGTAGAAATACAGAATATGTTTTCCCCTTAGTATTGTAAAATACAAAAACATCTTTGGTGTTTTTGTATTTTACTGCTTTTTTCATTGGATGAGGCCCCCACTGGCTTGCAAAGTACTTAATGACATACTGGGAGAGCTGTGAAGCAAGAGCTGTACATGAACAGCACTACTCTGCAT